ATCTATATACATACACACGCACAATTACCTGGGGAAATACGCTGGAAGCACCGAAGTCAAATGTGGACATGGAGGTCGTGAGTGCGCGTGACATGCGTCGTATAGAAGGGAATCCTTCATCAGCTGAAGGTGCTGCACCAGCCATTGGCCTGGTTGTGATTTCCGAATCCACTACTTCCGATACAGGCGCGTCGTCCTCCAGTAAAGAATCTGGGTACAGTGGTACGCAGTGAAGGGAGATATAGACTTCAGCAATTTGTGTGTTAGTAGCTAGCTGAAAGGATTGTGTCTGTCTACGTGCCTTCGAAGCCACGTTGATATATATATATATATATATAGATGTGAATGGGAGTTATTGATGTCCATAGTCAGACAGGGACACACATGCACGCAGCAATCAATGCAGATAAAACGTACATATACCTATACCCTACATATGTAGACGTATGGCCATATATCTACACATACCTATACCTTACAGATAAAAGACGCATGTACATATACCTACACATACATGTGCACACAGGGTTATCCTTCTAAAAATCACAATGCGTCAGACATACATATGCGTTAACAGCTTACCTACCTGCATCATTCCACGTCATCGTCGCCCCAGTGAGTTGTACCACCACGCGATCTCGATGGACTGCCACAACCTGTGCATGTAAGTAGAATACAACGTGACTGTGGCTATTAATGAACAGGACAGGTACTGGATAAACCTGGTTTATAGTATCCAGCACCCTATACCCGGAATTTTCGGGCTAAAAGAAGTTACAATATATATATATATATATATATATATATGAGTATCCCAATAAACTGTGGTGTATACGTCCAAATCGTATAGACATACTACGCGCGCTCAAACGGTGCAGAGGCAGCCACAGGATGTGTCCGCAACCACCAGAGACGCACAGAGACACACAATATGATGAGCACAACACATACACACCCACACACTCGATGCAAACGCACACGCGAATATATGATGTACGTACAGACGTCCCACTACACACACAGGAACACACTGCTAAACCCTAAACACTATTCCCTATAACTGTCTACCATAAAATCCTAAAGCCTACTCAACACCCGCATACAAACGCAGCACACAGAGATACAGACACAGACACACAGACACACACAGACACACACAGACACATATACACACACACAGACACATATACACACACGCAGACACACACACACACACACACACACACACACGCGCGCGCACACACATATACACCATACACAAACACAGACACACACATACACACACATACATACACACGGACACACACACACACACGCA